AATTCATTGCCAGAAAGCAAGCAGCCCGGCGAGAGTCCAAACATGGGTGGATTGTTGATGGAATGAATGGATGTTTTTGGGACGAAATGCATAATTTCATTATAGCCGACCCATGTGCACATAATCAAAGAAAATTATTATCCAAAGCATGCATCCGACCCGAATACTGTGCATGCAAAGTGATTTAAGCTCTGACACATGTTCACAGTGCTCAAAATTTATTCCATACATCAAGCACCCATTTTGTGATTTTATCTAATCAATGCCATTTCACGACTATTGCACAATTTCATACGTGCTGATGAATTATGTCTCTCTGTTCCACAAACTATGCTATTTTTATTTACTCACAAATCACCACAACTGTGCCGTGGACGCCATCGAGAAAGTCAATAAGCAAGATTGCCAGGTGATTACCAATTAATTGATGCTTTTCCCAGACAAACTGCGTATCAGTTTTTGCAATACACGGGATTAATCGAGTGTCGTTGATTAATTTAACCTTATTATGACGAGTTGATCACATATTTCAAGTGCTCTCAATGTCCTCTGAACGATTCTTGTAGTTTTTTTTCTTAAATTTTTACTAGAAATCTTCCCAACTAACAAGTAGCGTTTGGAATGTGAATGACAAAAGAGGCTCAAGTTGTTAGTTTTCTTCTCATTTTGATGAAAGCAACTCATGAGCATATAAAGTTCATGCAAATCTTTCTCGAAAAGTACAGAAATTTAAATTCAAATACCATCAAGTTTTGGTGTATAAATGTAAGTTTTCCCTTCTGATTTGAATTGAAGCTTCAGAAGAGTTTCAACCAAAGTTTTCCCGTCTCAGATGCACAAAGAAGACAAAAAACGTCGTTTAACATGAAAGATGACATTCGAAAGTAGGCTCATATTCATTTGCTGAAGTGGAGTTCTTGTCTTGTTTTCAGAGATAAGAAATGACAAAGAATACAGGTCACTCTAAGGAAAATGCCTTGTCTCGAAACGAATGTGGAAAATGAGAAAGAAAAACACAGGAACAAATCGATAACACACCCTCAAAGGCATGTGAAAAATGTCATTTTATAATTAACTAATAGTCAATACGGAGTCTGAGGTTTGATTAAAGATGTGTGATGGGAAAAGGCATCTCGACAGCGCCTGAGGGAAGTCCTCGACGGAGACTTAATGGTACTAAGTGGCTGCAGCTCTTAAGTGCTGATGGGGGAACATCAATGGCATGCCCCATATGAGTGCGCTCCACTACAATTATGTTTTCCATTTGGAGCGTCATTCACTCTTCATACTCATTCACACACGCCACTCTTTCGCCCTCTTTTGTTCGCAGCGCAAGTGAATTACACGGAGTCCCGACACGGCCACTCTTTTCCCGCCGCACATCCTGGGATGCAGTAACATTTAATTAGGGTTTCTCACCGAATTATTCTCTCAGTGCTGCTCTCGGTGAGTTCTGCCAAGAAAAAACTCAATGAGAAGTTGGGGAAAGTCGTAAGAAAAATAAATTTACGCCCTGACATATGTTGCTTTCCTCTGCGAAGGTGGGGTGGTTTTTTTCTTCTCTCGGGTGCATAGCAGAAAGGATTTTTCTCTGGCGCGAGGAAAAATAGTGTCTGAGGAATTATGGTTTAACAAATAAGAAAAGAAATATATTTGGCGGCTCCTCGACATTCGCTGCAGAGACGATAAAGTACACGGGCTGAATGTGGGCCGAAAAGAGGTGAAGGAAAATTGGTTTGTGTAACTTTCTTCGATTTGCACTTGTACTTTATTTGCCACATCCTCTTAGACTCCAAGTGAATGTGGCGAGAAGAAGAGTGGGAATGCCTTCCTAGGGACTTGCTTTTCTGCTGAATCTCCAAAGCGCCCCATGCCTTTGTAGTCCAGACGACCGAATCTCCCCCGCCTAAGACCCTTCTTCGACCCCCCCGAGAGACGGTCCGGTGCTGTAAATAAAGGGAACTTTTACCTCAGCTTAAAAACACTAACTGTGTATTCCATGTGATGAAAGCTGTTGAAAGTTCAAATTTCCTCCCACTCCTGGCCAAATACCCCACACACTGAGCAAGAAAAAGAAGTACAATAAAGAGTCAAGTTTAGAGCTTCCGGGACGGCTTTGACTGGGCGGGAAAGAGATGAAACTCCTGGTGAAATTGTAGCTGATGTAATTCATAAGTTTTTTACTTCCTCACACTTTCTTTCTCTTCTCGTTTGGCCCTTTTTCCCTCTTCGTGTGCAACACTGAAAAAAGTCAATATCACTTCACCGAATATTCATGTAAGACGGAACAAAAGTTCCGTGAAGGGAATTTCAATTTTATCATCCCTCTTCTATGGCTTTACCATCTTCCAGCACTTGATGATGTGACTGCAAAAGAAGTCACAATGCTGTACTTACATAAACAGGGTGAAGTTTTCCCATTGGCGTGACTGGATTTAAACACAATTGCGCACTATTCATGAGTGTAATATTAAGTGCAATAAACTTTTTGACAAATTCAACCACCAATCGCTCTAATCCTGCTCTGTTTGATGCGAGAAATTTTGTATCGCAATAGCAAATGGGATTAATTTGGCAGCATACGAGAGGGCTTTTTTCCGAGATGGATTTTAATGCGCTTCAGAATGTCGTCAGAGCGCGGGAGTGTATGAATGAAAAGGAATTAATACTGAAAAGTGGTACACAACACCAGTAAAAATGAAAAGCAACCCTGTTTTCAGTTGCGAGTTAAATTAATTAGCTTGCTTGCGCGAATAGAAATGCACACCGTGGAGGACAGTGTCAACCAGAACAGGAGAATTGGTATTAAAATGAAATATAGTTTTATGGTAATATTCATATGGACAATTCGCGGTGAAATATGCAAACCGGGAGTGTCTGGAAAGTTTAAAGCTCTGCAACTCAAAAGTTTCTCGATGGCTTTTGCCTCACTGTGGGTTCGCGAGTGTGGAAAAAAGGACTTCTCCATGCGGATGTTATTATATGGAGACGTGCGGCAGGAGCTTTTCGGCGATAGAAATTAATCATACTTGAAGAGTTTTGTGTGTGAATGGCGAACAATGGCAATAAAAGCATCTCTCGTTCTCTCTCTGATGGCACATTTTGAAGTGAGGAGATTCTCTCAACTCTTGCATCGGCCGAACGAGAGTCACTTAATCATTTTGCTTGTGGTCCAAAGTCGTCCATCAGACCTCAACTCCATTCCTCGGGAATCATGGAGAGCGGTCAAGTGCTTGCTGTTCTCTGGGGAGATGTGTTGCATTGCGAAATAGAGCGATTTGATGGCAAATTCGCATGTACAGACCATTTATCACATTGTCTCTGTCCGTATGTTTTATTTCCGCCTCAATAATTACGTATGGGTTTTCGAAGATGGCAGCCCGAGGGCGCACACACTTGGCAACTTTGCATCTCCCACAGTCACTCAACAATTCAATTCCAACTCAGTTGTTCGGCCACAGTCACCCCAGAATCACACCCCAGAGACACATCCTCTCGTCCAAATGACACTCAATCTCCTGCCCATGCTCAATTAAGTGCCATACTCTGGGATGCGAACTTTTAATCAAATTAAAGTTTCCCGAATTGAGCTCTAGTGACTCAGTCAAAAATCATGTTAACTGCAACATTTTAATATTCCATATTAATTGCCTCTCAATATTTGAAGCGCTGCCAAATTGAACATGAAATTCAACTTTAATCCCTCTGGCAATTTCAGGGATGCTTTGCCACTTTGTCGAGCTTTCATGTATAACTTTCTGATGTTCCAGAAGATTTCCCAACTCTTGGCAAATGCCAGCAAATGCTCTCAATTTCATCCAAAAAGACTGTCATCCCCCGAGGACATTCGCTGCCTAATGAATTCTTTCTTGCTGCTTTATCGAGGAGTTTACTCGAAGGGAGTGTATATTTTCGATTTCCCACACTTCGTCTTCTGAAATGGCATAATAAAAAAATTGAAGTAATGTTTAAACCCGTGAACTGAATAAGTAATAATGGAAAATATCTCATTTTCATTTCATCAAAACTTCGAGACTCTTAATTTAAGAGTTTCTTTCGCTTCTCTCTGCTTATTTGCAAAACAAACACCATTATTTTAACTTTGCCATTTCCGATGAAAGTGATATGAGAGACACACACTCCTGAGGCGTCGTAATCTTCACGATCTGCTTAAGATCATTGATGTGAGAAGAAGAAGAAAAAAACGCCACTCCATCTTCTTGCCCAGCAAGTCTGGTGTGTCTAGAAATACGACAAGATGCGATTAAAATAGAGTGTGAAATATCGTGCAATTTTTCTTGCCACAGCCAAAAAGAGGGGAAATTCTATGAGACAAAGAAGCAAAAACACGCACACGGCTTTCATTTGAAAAAAGAGAAAAAAGAGGCCTTTTTGACGAAAAATACAAACACTAATTGGCGGTGTAAGAAATTAAATGAAATAATTTGTCGAGACTTTGGGCAAAAACGGCGCAAAAAAAGCGAAAGGGAAAGAGAGACTGAAATGAAATGGAAATTTCTATATTATACGCTTTTATTGCTTCACAGTTGAAATATTTAAACTTTTTTCATATATATGTATATATTCCATATTTATGGGGAAAAGTAACAATTTCGTTGATGCCCAGTGACATCATTCAGCGCCCGTGATTTTCAGAGTGTGAGCGAAAACTTGCACTTTTTTCATGGTGCATTTTTTCTAAATGTCTTGTCCAATGTTTGTTCTAAGAACTCTTTTTGTCTTTTCCCAGATTTCCGGCTGTTCCGCGGTGGAATGCATGTGCGGACTTTTCCGGCGGGAGCAGAAAAGCGCCATGTAAGACAATTGATGTGTTGTAGCGCGAACGGCAGCTATTCAATTGCATTGTTACCCTTGACGTATGGGTGGTATTAATTGAATGAAACCCGACGATTTCTTGCACAAGTGACCATGCAAAGTAGCACGAGTGTTGCGTCGCCGCTGGGGAAACTCTCGCGGAGAGAGTGAAGCGTTGAGCAACCATGGAGCGCCGGACGCGTCCTCCTGACGTCGAGGAGGCGCTGTCCTCGATGCTGTGGACGCCCTACGAGCGGACACCCTCGGCCACGTCCTCCGACGAGGGCGAGGCGTCGCCGCGACGGCCGGCCAGGAGCAAAGGGAAGTCCGTGAGCTTCGCGCAGAGGCCATACAGCATGCCCTACTTCATCCCGACGCCCCACCTCGCCAAACCGCCGTCTTATGAGAATTTCGTGTTCGCCAAGAAGATTCCCGCGTCGTCGATCAACAGCTTGCCTTACTCGAGAATGCCGCACTCGTTCACTGACAACTTCGTCCAGTACCAGGTGAGGCTCGTGTTTCTCCACAGCCAGAGTTGCAGACGAGAGATCAGAGAGAAAAGCCTCTATTTGCGCACGATTTCAGTTAGAAGTAGGGAAATTGAGCTCACAAAGTCTCTCATCTGTTGACTCTGCAACTCTGGCAACCGCTCAAAGAGCAGCCACAGATTTCAGAGACACGCCAAGCCAAAATCTCCCTATATTTGGATTTTGAGCAAAATTTGCGAGGTCACCACGGCAAGATGTGTTAGAAAGTCACCGACAGAAACGACTCGACTCAGGTGTCGTGCAAAGCGCACAGGCTTTTAGTTCTAAACAAGCTCTTTGATTGACACGATAGGATTAATTTCCAACGAGGGAGGTTCTCACCCAAAAAAGTGGCTGAATGAAAAATGATGCGAGATTATACTGAGCAGCAAATGACTGAATATCTCCCAGTGTGTTTCACAATATGCCACAAGAGCGACGGAGATTTGAGAGATCGTCGAATTGGGTGGATTTGCCATGGCTGAGAGAGAAAGAGGTTTTCACATCTAATGCCGGCGTTTGAAAAGTGTAAAGTGATGCTCAAAAATGTATTTTCAGTGGGCTTTTTTTTCAAATGCAATATCTCACCATCGACTTGTCAATCAGCGATCAATCAAGCGCGCCTCAACATCGGAAGCCTCCGTTATTGAATAGCACATTCATACTGAAATTCACGCTGAAATGTGAGATAATATCAGATTTGCCTAATAATAATGAACAGTTGTTTCAATAAATACTGCGCGCTTTTTTCTACCTATTCGCACAATGCGTCTGCCATAATTCAATATTCGCCAATTTCTGTACAAATGTATGTTCAATTCTGCTTTGGCCACACAATTGACACCCAATGTCAATGACAATATTTTGTGGGCGAAACAAGAGCTGTCCGTCACGAGATCAATTCTTTCGCATGACAATAATTAGTTTGTCACAATATTTTGCTGCGCGAAGCTCTCCAATTAATTCCAATTCAAATTGGAGAATTGAGTGGGATTTGCTGAGAGCTTATCTATTTGATCGGCTCTAGGCTAGAGCTGCGCTTAGAGTGAAAAACAGCACAAATGAGGAGTTAATTTTTAAATACTCGCGTAGAATATATTTTAGCCTTTAAATGTTAAAATTGTTCTGTTGTCATGATCGTAAATATGGTTTTGCTAGTAAAACACTGTGCTCGACGATTAAAGATCGGGCAATAAAGAGTGGATTAACCCCATTTGTGGCTCTGCCGTAAATCTCGGTAGCGAAAACTCAAGTGATCTCAATTGTTCCAAATATACACAGAGGAACGTCGCCGAGCACTCGAGTTGAGCTCATGAAATATTCCCACTCCATCGAATATTAATGCGTGTTTGTCTGTGTCTGCGGCTTCTCGTCAATTTGGCTGAATTGAGGCAGAAGAAGCGGGCGAACGGTAATGATGATGGGCGATCTTCTTGCAGGACTCTCTGGGCGCCGCGGGCCGCTTCTCCGCCGGCGACTTTGGCGCTTTGGTGGACTTGTCGCCGCTCGTCGGCAAGGGCGAGCGTGTGATGTATGCGTCGTCGTCGGGCTGCCATGGAGACCTACATTTTTCCAAATGCGACACCATCGTGCCTGCCCGAGCGGGCCCGACGCCGAACAGCACACTCGCGGATCTACCTTCAGTGTTTGGGGTCAGTAAACCTCGTGGCGATCGCCCGAGTGTGTGTGCCTCACATGGTGCATCGGCGCGAGTGGTGGGGGCCGCCTCGGTTGCCTCGGAGCCCAGCTCGGCGAGCGGCGGCAGTTGTGTGCGAGTCGACCAGCCGGACGGGTGCTTGTCGCGCGGGAGTGAGCAAGTGGCCCGCAGGAGTGATTACCATGCAATGAGGTTCAGTGTGCCCGCCACGGACGCGCCCGAGGGCGCCGCCACGGTCTTCGTGGCGGACGCGCCGCGGCCCAGCCTCACGATCCACGTGAACCAGAGTGATCAAGAGCAGGATGTTGTGAACCAGCCGTCTGGCGTGAGTATTGTTAATTGTTATCGAGCAGTGCCTGTGCAACTTGTGAGTAGTGCTAAGAGTGAATCAGTGAATGCCAATGAGTGCGCCCGTGACACGCACGTGAGTGAGGAGGTGTGCGCCGATCCCGAGCGCACCTTCACGTCCACCGAGGCGCAAACGGACGATCTGCCGGTGCATCGGCCGCCCGTGAGCGGCATCAGTGCGCGCGAGCAGCGGCGCCGCGAGCGCCGCGAGAGGCGGCAGGCCAGGAGCAGGTCGCAGCACATCCATCCCCACGGGGCGGTAGTGCGGCCGGCCTTCGAGATACTGCCCGACATCCTCAACAGCCACCTGCCGCCGCCTTACTCCACGCTGCCGCTCGACACGTCCTCCCCGCCCCCGCCGCCGCTCTTGCCGCCGCCCCTCATCCCCACGATCCCCGTGGGGCCCGTGGTGGCGGCCAACGACACCAGATACGTCTTCCCGCTGCCCATCATCAGACGGTGAGTCCACGAATGCCCAGTTTTACGTTCAGTCCTTCAATTGGTCTAGCTCAGTCAGGAGGATCGTGACGCATCCTCCTTGACATCTGGCTGATGCAATTTCTTGAGATGTTTCCGAAAGAAATCCCATGTTCCCAATATTTCTCCAGAGACCTTCGATTAGTCTAAACTTGAATCTGAATTCACGTCATCGAGCAATGTTTTTTCCATACAATTCCCTTAAGATATTTCCAAGTCAAACAATAAGCAACACCTGACTCAATAGCCATTAGTTTCCGAACGGTACAGCCGACAGACTTTTGATTTGATTCCCATAGAATGTCTGTTTATTTTCATCTCCGCCACTTGAGGATACTGCCAAACAAACTGCATAAGTTTCGAGGCATTAACTTCAATTACCTTTTAGGCCGGCACCGTTATTGTTGTTTTCTTGAGCGACTAATCATATCAATCATGCTGAGATTCCGTTGATTGAAGTATCTTCATTTGCAATCTTGCCAAGCTTCCAGCATCGCAAGGAGTCGTCTCTCTTTGTGTGTGGAAATGCTTGAGCTCGAAGGTTCTGTGCAAATTTCTCAGCTCTGCATTTCATAAATTTCATTTTGATTTCATTAGAGGGAAAGTTTAGGTGTGTGTTGGATTTTTATTGGAGAGGTGAAACTGAAATTTATTTGAGCGCTCAGAGACACCGCGAGTGGGAAAATCGAGATATCGAGGGTAATCCTCAATGTCCTGGATAGTGTGTAAATTAGTAATAATGAAAATTGTGAGATTAAAAAGTCATTCAATATAGGCAGTTTTGTGCCATAATGAAAAGCAACGCTGTGATTGTGAAATATTCATTTAGATAGTGTGTTTTTAATTCCACTTTCCTGTGGTTATGCGAAAATGATAACTCTTTGCCTCATTTAAAAATGTCCACCCTAATTTCCCTGCCAACGCGATTCCCCCCTAATTGAGGGTATTGATGCCCACCCATTGAAGAGTCCACCCAATTAATTGGTTTCAATTGCAGCGGCAGAAAAAGTACCATTTTCCACCCTCTGTGTTCATTGATATTTGATCGCACTGTCGATGATTTGCTGCATCGCCAATGAATCAGTGAGTCATTAAAAATACAACAGTTGCTTTAATGGCACGATTGTGAGCTCCATTTAATTTGTACTCATTAGCCCGAGCCTTTATCACTCGCTTCGGTTTTGTTTTCGACATTTTGGTCAGTCTGGGAAAAAGTGACCCTCGCTGACGCATTTGCTGGCTCTGCCGGCCATGTCTGGGCGGAAGGGGTCAATTATTATTGGAGGGCTCGAAAGTAGGGAACAATGGGGATATTATGAGCAGCTGCACCCGACAATTGAGCAATTTCCTGGACAGACACTTCGAACAGTCATTTCCAATACAATTCGAATGGCAATGCGACGTCCAATTGTCGTGCGATGTGCCGAAGAAATTGAGGAGGAACTATTCGGGGCTCCCTTGAAATGCACTCTTGTGGTGTAAAAGGCATCAGAGGAGGATTTTCCTACTAATTTGCCTGTGATTTATTTGGCTGTTTCAAGTTGAGAATCCTCCGTGGGTGATTTATGGGAGTGAAAAAGAGATTTTCGGTCTTCTCAATTCGCCTGTCTGTGCCTATAAATCGTGGCTTAATTCAATAAAATGGGGAGAATAAAAGAAGCAAAATGCACAGAGTCAGAAAAGACTGTGCGGAGCGAAACCCATTGGCGTCGCCCGTGAATTGTGAGAAAAGAATTAATTTTTCATCTAATTCACTTGCCGAGTCTCTCAAGCCCCAAACTCAATTTTTGGCCTACTTTCGCGGCAGCACACAATCGAGAATGACGGCGGAGGGAAAGGAGTGAAAGAAAAAGAACTTCAACACACAACCATTGGCCTTTTGCACAAATGTTACCTCTCGCATGTGCACTTTTCCATACACCCAAATGTGCTCTCTTGGCTCTCTTGTGGCGTTTGCGATGGTGATGGCATTCTCTGTGTTGGGATGATATTCCTCTTCTTCACCGAGCGGGGCTTTGGTGGTCGAGGTGAGATGGTCTCTATGTGAATTTGCCTTTGTTCCGCGTCAATACCGTTAAACAACACATATACGAGACGCCAAAGTGAATTCATACTCCCAACCACACTAAATCACGAGACTTTCTAATGTGCCGCAGCAAAGAGCGCACTTGCGATGGATCATCGGAGTATTTGAGGGGAAAATTCTAACTATTTTCCAATTCCAGAAACCAAATCAACACAGCTCACGGAGAAAATGTGCTGTTGCCTGGCACAAATCCATCCAACTCGCACTTCTTCCTCCTCTTTCTCTCTGAATCCATCTCTGCTTGGTAAATCTCGTTGGTGATCTTTTGTGTTGTACTGCACACAGTCGAAATCTCCGTGCGCCGCAAGGAAAAAAGATTGTATTCTCTACCTGATTCATGCTCTCGCCAATGGTAGAAAATTGTCTTTGGCACACACGAGAACCGATCTGCTCAAAGTGGGAGGAGAGGAAGACAACAAAAAATGCCATCAAAGAACATGGTTGAATGCTGCTATTTTGCTACGAGATACACAAAAATATCATGTAACCATGCGAAGGAGTTTCACAACTTTGCCAGCTCAGTTCGCCCTCTTCCTCCGCATCGCTTCTGGCCATCCTTTGGCGATGGACAATGACGACTGCGGCGTGCAAAATGAAACCAAGACAGCAAACGCTGTGGCTATTTCGTCTTGAGGCTGGGATCAGCAGATGGAAAGCGATTTCCTCTGACTCACATAGTCACATAGAAGACTAATTAGTAAGTGCGTCGCCCTTGAATTACCAATTTTAGCCTTATCTAATTCCCATGGAAAACACATGTCTCAACTCATGGGCTCAATCACGGGCTCCCCGACAGAAATAGAGAGTAATCCAAGGTCATTGCATTTCCGAGGGCGTGAAGCTGCCCTAAATGTGTTATCGGGTAAAAATAGGACCATTAGCAGAGCACATCTCGAAGGGTGGGCGAGCAAGTAAAAGCAGACATGGTCGTAAATCGCTTGAGAAATCCCATCAAACGCTCTTCGTGCATCCTGAAATTTGAGTGTTCTGGAGAGGGTGAGTGTTAAGGCTTGTGCGGCGTGAGTTGAATGTGAGGCTCCTGCATTGATGGTGTTTAAAACTTGTTTTATTTGATTGAAAAAGAGATCGACACGAGAGAGAGAGGGAAGTAAGCAAGTCAGCAACAAAACAGACACAATAAAGACTGTGGGCATTTGTGGGGCTCTTTTTGACTCATATCCAATCTCCCTGGAAACGCGCGTGTGTGTGTATGTTAATGTACAAAATGGATTTATGGTATGGGCAATACATTATGTGCTGGCGTACTTGAGTTACTCCGCTGAAACCACAGAAAGAAGTCATATTCTTCGCCGCGATTGAGACCCGATAGCGCAAGATACGGTTTCTGTTTGGGGATTTGGAGTCTCTCTCGCGAGCTCAGTGTTGACCGGAGGAGTGGTGGAGCGGAAGATTATTGGTTTCTCAGAGCAATTTACTCAATTTCCCATTTATCTGCTTCACTTCTCGCATGCATGTAATGTTGCCCAAACAAAACACCATCAGATCAAGGAGGGTTAATGAAATTTTAGGAAATCCACTCCAGCCAGTGTCTCTGCCGGGTGATCTTTGTTTTCTTCCCATACGACGAGCGACATGATGTGATTTCACCAGAACATGCTGTCATGGGAGCCCGAAACATGCTGGCGGCAGCATCGCGCGGCCCGGGGTCAGAAAAGAGCGTGAAAATTGAGAATTGCTTCTCATCCATAGGACAGATTGTGAGTCAAAAAGCTGAAATTCTCTCCTCGCCGGCAAACGCGCTGTGAAGGGCCTCAAACTGAGACACACAACAAAGAAAAAACCGGATTTTCAAAACGAAACCCAATGATTCAGGGGTTCATCCATAACATTGAACAAACTCTCTCGACTATTTCTACCTTCTCTTCATCGCGTCTTCGGGCCATCCCACTCTTCGGGTGTTTTCATGCACAAAAATGTAATGATGCTCAAAATCAAACTCGCACTGCGCTCTCATCCAACAAAAGGCCATTTATGAGGAATGTGCGCCTGTTTTCTATATATGACCCGGTGAGAAATGGATGGAAAGAGCGCGAGAAACATGAGATTCCCCAAAAGCAATGAATGGAAAGAACAGGAATAATTGGGGTGGCGCAAAAACTTCTCTCTTCACAACATTGTTGCTCCAGACACTCAACCATCCTTGGCGCAAAATGAGAATTTTGCCACCAGAGCAATTGGACGTTGTCAGAAGTTGGGCGAATTGTCGACAGATTAGAGCATTGATTACCTCTGGAGAAAAAAAAGTCATAATGCTGATGAAAGGGATGAAATATCATGAAAGTTTGACATTATTTAGCATATTTTCGACTGCCAAATTTCTTCATAAGAGACAAAGTTATGCGTGACAAATTCTTCGCTTCTTTCCAATCATCATCACTCTTCAAACACCCAGGAAAATGTAATCTTTCCACTGATCTTCAGTGATTTATCTTTCTCTACACTCGAATCGTCATCAATGCAGCACGCCGCTGAATGTCATCATCCCTTTATGGGTTGTGGTGTGGTGAAATCTCGCGAGGAATCCACCAAATTGGTCGGTGATTTGAGGGAGAGACGAAAAAGAGCATTCCCACTTAGCAGTAGTTAATTGTTAATAAAGTTAATTACATCATCAGTGGCGGTGGAATGCTTCTTCAGCTCTGCCAGACGCCCTGCACAAGTCAATTAAACCCACTGAATCGCGCTTCCAACTGTCAATCAGTGTCGGGTGAATGGTAAGAATCAAATTATATTATTGGCGAATTGATCTCTCACGCAAATAAATTGATTTATCCCGCCGATGAGACTCTCGGCTAATCATGAGGGCATCACGAGAGACCTTGACTTGGGTGATCTTCTGGAATTTATATTGCGCCTGACATTTTTCAAATACAAC